AGAGCAAATTCACTTGATGCGAATATTGCGAAAACCATTACAATTCGTATATGTAAAATTAGCGGAGCCAATGCAAATTGCACGGAACGACAATGTAGCGAGTTGCAGATTTGACAGATTGTTGAACAGAAAACCGTGCATGGAAATATTAAGTAAAAAATTATGGGAATATTTATTAAGTACAGCAATTTATATTCGCGTACATTTTAAAGTCTACAGCACCTGCTCTTGAGAAGGGCGAAAAACGTTCCCAACAGAAAATCAGCTCAACACGTCCTTCATCGCGCATGCAATGGCTGCAAAAGCGCGACGAGCGACCCCGACATTAAGGGCAAGCGGAGAAATCCGCAAGTTGCATCCCCGCCGTGGCTTCCACGGTGGATGTCAGCGTCAACTGCAATTCCGGCAACGAAGACCACGTCTTCGTCGTTTCCGGATTAAATTCCCTCCTACGTTGCTCGCCAACTCGACAAATATCTTCAAGGAAGAGTCACGTTCAGTGTGAAACTCGCTTTATTTTCTCAAATTTTCAACGACATCTCGAAGATCGGACGTCCACAAAGTGGAAAAAGATTCATCCCGTAGTTGGTTTTCGTAATTTCAAGGTTCCATGCAGATGTGCTAAATTTCAATTAGGCATCGGAGAAATACGAGACTTCGCGATCATTGCTCCTTGTCCGCACGAAGAGTGCAGAATGTACGAGTGCACACAGAGTTTATGTGATTGCATAGTGTACGACCGTCATCATTTCGGCGGAAAGTGAATACTTGAAGAAGTTCTTCTTCAACGAACGCGGTCGAGAACTGCCAGACCGTGCCCATAGGACCTGAGGGAAGCTCTGAAGTTCCGATCTTACTTCACGATTGTTTAAAGCATCGAGAATAGTAAATTAGAATCGTGATTAAAAATTGATTTCTATCCTGGCTTCATTGTGTGTCATCGAAAAACCGTAAGCAATGGGACGTCAAACACAATTTATAACAAATATGGGGTTTCACAACTTCAGTTAAAAGCTTCATGCCCCAAATGGGCAAGTCTTCAATACATACTATCTCCATAATACATATTGTACAATCAGATTTTCTTCACCCGGCGAGTTCCGAAGATGCAAGCGCTGCAAGTTGGCTTTCCCGAATGGCTTAAAAAACTAGCTGGTAAAATACATTGCTGGCACGATGTCATAATGTATTGTATCATGCATTATCCATTTTAGATGCTATGTATAAAACGTGCATTCCGAATTTGGCAGAAAAGATCACATTCTATGTTGAAAATATCAAAATAAAAATATCTAAGCGTTTAAAAGCACATGAAGCTTGCAAACACCGTTTGTGGCACAATGAATATGAACAGAGGAAAAAGGTATTTCCAGTCCAATCGTGGGTCTCCTTCGAATGACAAACGAGACTAATGATTTCCCTCGTCTTTCCCGCTATGAGGAAATTTTATATTTACTGGTGTGAAGTGTAAATATTGCTGTTGATAGGAACTTAGCCAAAACGACGAAATCCTGCATGGTTTTTTTGCAATGTTTACTTGCGCACCTATTTCCATAGACCGGGTCAATATTTGTAATTTGTCGTAGCATAAGAAAATACGGTGACATAAATTCATGCAAGGAAGTCGAATGGTCCCGTCATTGCCCATTTTCCTTGCACGAAAGGAAGCCCAACAAAAATTTTTTGGCCGATGAAATTCACACTCATTGCCTCTGCAAGGGGTAGGCCATAAACCCGGCGTTGACAGTTTCCTGGTTGCCCTCGAAGCGTTGCTCCTCTCCGGCATGCTCGAGATTCTGGAGTTCCTGAAAAACGATTGAATATCGTCAATGTACCCATCATCTCGTCTGCAACTCCTACAAACAGTACAGGTCGGTAAAATTTCAGATTCCCTGCCTCATACAGGACCGACCGTCTTCGGTCTATCAATACTTATTGAAGGCGTTTATTTTCCATGATACAACTTTTTCGCGAGTATTTTTCTTTCGAATATGGCTATATTGCACTATAAAACGTTCATTGAAAAACCTTCTGAAGTTTGTAGGAAACCAAATATTTTAAATTTCTAAAATTTTGCGCTTCCAAATATACACAAGTTTTCATGAGAAGGTGCAATAGGAAGTGGTCGAATACATTTTAAGATGTTTATCCTCTTTGAACTTTCAAGGTACGAGCGGCTGTCAAAAAGGCTGTGGACTGATCGATTATGGAAGAAAGGTATCCAAGTGCAATTATGCGTTCTTAGCTGCTCTTCTTTACCTGTGTTGCGCCTAATTCGGAGTGAATGCGGTCAGACAATGCGTATAAAGTCGCTATGTGAGCCAAGTTTCATAGAAACCCCAGATGAAGTATTTTGGCAATATGAGGTGAACGTTCGTAGCATTTTTTGCATGACAACGTGTTACTGCTTCAGAGAAGAGCAACGAGGATATCCCCGGAAAAGGAGGGAACAGACTTTTAAACAAGAAGAAGCAGGTCTCTTGTTTGACTCTAAGAGAAGTTAACACCATATTGTTCACAGTGGATACCAATGGGTCCCAAAATCTAATATATATAGATGATGGTGACTGACTGACTGACGCTAATTGTTCCATAATGGTTAGGAATCTGACATTTTGTACACATGTACCTACTGGGATGCTGAGTTCTAAAAAAAATCCGACTTCGGAGGTACCTTCCCTGGGGGTACACATTTTGGGAGAAGTTTTTAAATATATATTTTAACGGATGAGGATTGCATCGAGAGGCTTAACTGGATGCCCCGGGGTTCGGTGGTGCAGTGGTGGCACACCTGACCGGCAATCAGGAGGCCCGAGTTCAATTTCCGGCCATTCCTTAGCTTTCTTTCGGCCTCTCATGCCTTCCAAATCCCGTTACTCATTCCCCCTCCACAACAATATTTTTGCCTGAGTAAAACGGAGAAACATGAAAAGCTTATACTTAGCATAGACGGGCCTACCGAGACGATGAGTTCAGGAAAATGCAAAATTTTATATCCATGCCCTGGGGGCAAATTTTTTGGGGCCGACGTTTTCAAGTAATTTTTTTTGTCCTGGCATATTGAGCTAGTGTGGAAAGATGACACTTGGTACATCAGTGCCTATTGGGACTCGGCGTGCATAAAATGTCAGACTTCGGAAGTAAATGCCCTGGAGTTACACATTTCAAAGGGAGACTTTTCAACTAATTTTTTTGTTTCAGTTAAACTGATGAACATGAAAAGCTGAAACTTTGCATGAATGTGACAACTAGGACAAGGAGTTATAGAAAAATGTTAATTCTCGATATATCCCCTGGGGGAATTTTTTCGAGAGGCGATGTTTAAACAAAAAATTTTGTCGTAGCGAATTGGACAGAAATGGAAAAGTGAAATTTTGCACACGTATAAGTGACATGATATTGAGTTGAGGGAGTATTCATCTTTCAAGGTCCATCCCCTCCGGGCATAGCTTTTGAGTGAGTCGGCTTTTCCAAACATGTCTTTTCACCAGAGAAAAGGGCAAACATATAAGGTTGAAACTTTGTGGGCATGTAGTCCTATGAGGATGGATTTCGGTTTAAAAAAAAGCTGGTACGTTTCGGTTAAAGCAGCTCAGGAAACATATTTTGCCAAAGGCGTATTTCTGGAATTTTCTGATCCAGCAAAACAGAGGGAACGTTACGTTTCCAAAAATAATTGTTCATATCCTAGCGAATTGGGCAGAAATAGAAAAGTAGCAGCTGGCGCACGCATAACGGAAGTGATGTTGATTTAAAGAAAAATTCAGCTTTTGTTGTGCGTCTCCTCAGAGCACAGCTTTTGTGTGGGTCGCTTTTTCAAATACATCTTTTACCGTCAGCAAAAAGGGGAAACGTTTGAGGCTGAAACTGGGTGGCATGGAGCTCCCTGCGTCTACATTTCAGAAGAAAAAAAAAATCGTTAAAACACATCAGAGCACTTTTTTTCAGTCCCATTTTCCTAAATATTTTTTGATCCAACGAAACAAAGACAGAAAATTTATACTTCCCTCAGAAGTACCTATTTGATGGATGAGTATAGGAAAAAGTCTACTTTTGAAATATGTCCCCTTTACGCTGATTATAGGAGGGAAGTATTTCAAAATGTATTCTGCACTTTTACAAAAAAGGACATATGAAAAGATTTCAAGTTAGGCACACTAGAAATCATAGAAGGAATGATTTTGATAAAAATGAAGACTTTCGTCCCCATATGTCACGTAAATATGTCACGTATTTCAATGGGGACGTACTTTAAATACGTGCCTGCCATTTAGCAAAGAATAAATGAATTAATCACTATCCATGGTAATGGAGCGCCGAAGGGGCGACCTTAGCAAAACAAACAAACTCGCTACTACACATATATTTTTACACCTTAATCTCAGATATAATAGGCTGATGATGAAAATTTTCATATTCATATCACCGATGCAAGCTGCCTTGATGAAAATTTCGCTCCCTGTGTCCAGTGCAACACATCGTGAGAGGTAGTTCCTCAATCCCTAAAAAAAGACGTGGAGCAACTACTTTTAGAATCCAGAGATTCCAGGCCCGTGGGCATAAAAACAAGACCCCAGAGAGGCTCTTGAGAAGCATTGCACTGTTCCTAATGACCAACTGCTTATAATCACTCCAATACGTCTATCACGAAAAGCTCTGCTTTCCATGTGCTTAGTTCAGCTGCAACCCTATATAGTGCTGGTGAAAGGCAACGGATATGAGTGGAGAAAATATACGATGTAAATTCAATGAGAAAAATATTCCTAATGAATAAACCTTGGTAAATGGCTTATTTCTGAAAGCGGCACATATCACTATACTGAGAAAGCATTACTGTCACAGGCAATTCAATTCATCCGTTTCTTGCTACTTTGCCTCTCTCAGGTGCCTCCGAATTTTCCAAATCATTAGTACGAGGAAGAGACAACAATTTTCACGAACTCCGATACCTGATTATTTCTCATAACGAAGTGTCACTTCCACTCACCTTGAAATGAGAGTAGACGACGAGGAAGAAGTGGACTACAATGGAATATACGATTAAAAAAACGACAGCCACGATGATGAAGATGATGAAGAGACCATGCGGTGCCATGGTTAGTAGCCCGAACAGAATTATGCAGATAAAAATTATTAGGATTGCGATCAGCGCCAGGAACTCCAGGGCCAACCATGGTATCATTAGATTCCTCTTCCCCTGAAACGTTAAAAAATTACGGTCTGCAATACTTCACAATATTTCGTGTATGACCTCTAATCGTTTCGTAGAAGTTACTGATGAAAACTACGGAAATATTACCCTAGTGGCATATAACATTGAAACAACAATGATTCAACGGTGATTCAACAACCGGACGTTGAACCAACATTGAATCAATGTTAGTTCAAGGTCCTACTAGTGTACTAGGGTATAAGCGCCTCGCAGGTTACACGTCGGATATTATGTACATGAACAGGGCTAAGCAGAATGTGCTTTAATCACATTATAGATGTCCAGAGCCACTCGGTGGTTTCCAGGAGCTCGGAGTAAAATTAAACCAGCCCTTGAGGCCCTTTGGAGGTCCGCTGGGGCGTCTTGGTAAGCGAAACTCGGGGCAGATTGACCGCCATGCCCGATTTCCCCCCCCCCTCTAGGGGGCCCTAGTGATGTTAAATGCATGTATTTCTTTTAAAAGTTCACCATTTTGTTATCATTTTGAAATCAAAATTGTTTCATGAAGCATATTTTCATGTTGCGATCAGGAAATATTTTATTTCCCGTTAAAAAGATTTTTTTTAATTACACGCTATACCCTCCACGATGGAAATATAATTTTATATTTTAAGTCATAAAAGTGATTATAACATCTGCGAAAAAGCATCAACCTGACGCCTTGTCTCCTGCTGAGTGAACACTGTGATGGAAAATTAATTTATTATTAACATTTTCTAAAGAAGGCATTCTTAAGTGGAACGTGCATTAAATTTTGTGAAACTCTCTTAAATCCATGAGGTTTAACTATTAGAATCATTATTTAATGCATGATAGAAATTCCCCGCATCAGGAACAAAATCTCTCGCGTATATTTTGACCCCATGTATATTTGCATAAGCTAAAATGAGTTTGACGTTATTTGCTACGCTTGCGCCAATTGTTTTTTAGATTCGAGCTTAGTTTCATCTCTCCAAATTGCGATGATCATACACAAAAATTATCTCCAAATCCTCAATGGCGTCGCCATCAGACGCATACGATCATATTATCCAGGAGACCAAGCACTTTGGTTTTACTTCATGCATTGTATTAACCACCGAACCATAAAAAACATCAGACACCAAGCAAACTTCGTTTCCTTTCATTTGCTGGTAATTGCAAAAAAAAGGCAAAATAAAGTTTCCATTTGTCTTTCACATGTTGGATTTCCAGAATATCTTCACGCGGAGAAAGAGCGTTTCAATGGTTGACGTTTATTCAACACCTCTTAGGGGAAGAGCCTGAGATGAGAAGCAACTTCTGATTGGCTGAGATACAAACCTTCCGAACTCCATGAATGAGAAGAGAATCAACTATGATGAGTGCCAGAAGGGTGACCATGCTCGTGATAAGAAGATTCGTATATGCTGGAAGAGAAAAGATGGGATACATAGCAAAATCTCCCTAGATCATCCTTACTTGTTTTACAACGATAAAAGTTCAGTTATTGCCTAAAAAAAAATAAAACCGAAACACATGAAAAGCTTAAGACTTCCAATTCCAGAAGCGATAACCCACTCTCTTCTGAAAGTTGATCGGTGATTTCCGATCTCATCTCGTATCCACGACTCATGTCGACCACGTTTATCACGAATGAAGCGCAATAGGAAATCTGGAAAAGAAAATGTTGCATTAGACAATAATCAGGGTTTTTTATCTTGGAGGAACTTGATCCGTATTCAAAAATTGAATTCAGTAAGCACAAAACAATTGAAACGTATCTTGGACGACATCGTTTGCGAGCTGGAAGAGCCACTGACTGGATGCTTTTGTGCTGTGTTGTTATCTGGAAAAAATTTATTATAATTTCCTTTGAGTCACTTTTCCTACTCTTGCTATCGTGTTCTCAGGAAGTCCTTCACATCCTGGCATTTTCGATTGATGAGAATAGCTCTTGTCCATTTAAATTGAAATTAGTTTTCGAATCAAAGTGGTCGATTTAAGAAAATGTTGTTAAGTAAGCGGGACAATTTTGCAATGTGACGCCGATGGAAAAATTATTGCCAATGCTCCCATCAATTGTGAAATACTCTAATAAATGGATGGAAACATTACATTTGTATTAATCATCCCACAATGACCGCAAATATTGCAAATAAATCATATCCGAAATAAACAAAAGAAGTCAGACACGTTAGTGCGATACATGTCATGTAAGATATCACATATAAAAGAAATGTGTATAATACGTCTGATGAAAAGGCGCTGTAGCATATTAGATACGTTTGTGTACCCCTTCCGCGTCTACACAATCCGATCTGGTTGGATATCTGGTTGGATAATTTTTGAGAAACCCATGTGGCCCTTACTCTTCAGCATTGATCAGCATTACGATGAGCTTCAGTAGCTAGGGAGAGCGCTTAATGCCCCATTAAGAACAGCATCTTGGGCGATCAGCGAAACATCACTATGGGTTGTTATTCCCTGATCTTAACAGTTAAGAAATCAATGTCGTCCCTGTAAAGCTAAATATTACTTGGGAACCAATCATTCCAAATTGTGTGTAATATTTCTCTGTCTGTATTGATTCTCTTGGCATTTAAAAAAATTCCGCAAACTTTTTTCACCAGAGATACATACTCTCACTAACAACGATCGGACTACGGCGGGTTCTACTCCCTTGCCTTCATTCAAGGCTCATTAGGTTTGTTTCGTAGGTGATTTTCGATAAAAGCGAAACGTAGTCAAAAATTGTTACTCGATATCGAGAGATATATCTGAGAAAACGTTTGCATCTTTGTAAGATGCAAATGACTGAATATTTCCAAGCAACACTCGGAAACATCTGTTGAAATGCACACGGTAGAGAAGCTGATTTTAGTGCGGAAGTTTGACATGAAAACGCCAAAAATCAGTTTTCTCGTCCACAGATCGGCTACATAAAAGAAGCGCCGGGTATTTTGCACATGAAACATAGGAGAGTATCTCAGTTCTTGAATATGACGTCAAAGACAATCATTTGTTTCGGAATCGGGTTGGGCTGTACGAATAGGACATACTCATGTCATCCGACATTTGTGTCAGATTTTACTGCGGCAATCCGGATGAGGTTTAACCTAATGCGAACCAGGTAACTCTTCAGGACGATTAATAAACGTGGCTCCTTTAACTGGAATTGGCTAAAATGAAGGACTACAGGTGAGTCATTCAAACATTCATTTCCGAAAAAGGTATTTCTGAAGCCCATGTAGTTCAAAGAAATATTGGTCAAAAATGGTGCTATGCCGAAGGCAAAAACACTACTGTCGCAAATTCGGGTATGATTAGTCTTAATCTAGCAAATTCCTTGGACAAAGAGTAGGTATGCTTGTAAAAGGTTAAATCCCAAAAGGTACAGGGTGTTCCGAATGTTTCTGACCCATCGCATAAAATATGGTTTACTACTATGCCGGCCACTGAAAAAATCATGATCATCTACAAATGCTACATGAAAATCCGGGCGATCTGGTCAGAACGAGAAAAGGCTGTGCTATTGCAGGACGGAGGGCCATAGCACTCGGCTTGCTTCGCGCTCCATGTCCTTAATGGGACTATGGTACAGAATTGACCAGAAACTGTCCGTACCCCAACACCAGGAACACCTGTGGTGGAGGTTCCAGCCGAGGGATCTGCGCCGGCATCATCTCATATATCGTGTGTCAGTTGTTTCCAGGGTTCTAAATGGAGTGAGAAACCAACGGGATGAGTCTCATCTGTCGGTTGATTTAGAACTTCGGGACGGTGGTCCGAGGATGCCACATTAAATATTCTTGTGGGAGATGGTACTTTGGGTATTCCTTGCCATGTGAAATGTATTTAAATCAACACGTCCCCGTTAATCACGTCTTCATCTTCATTTTAGGAGGTTAGGAACTTTCGGAACGCCCCGTATATTCCCTGGGAAAAAGGAAATGATCATCCAACTTTCTCCAGAACTAAGGAATGCAAAGTTGTGACCGAATGAAGAGGGGGGAACCGCGTCAATCGTCGTCAATTGCTTCACCAGTTTTGAGAATGGAAAAATCGATTATTTGTATGGGCAATGGAAACTGCTATTTTCTTGCAGCTAACACAATACATCGTACCAGTCTTTCATGGTTTATTGCTGCTCATGAAACGGTTAAGATTCTCCAACGATAACATTATAAATACTAAGAAAGATGAAACAATAGATTATAACTAGCGGCCTATGGCCGCAATTGCGGCCTTCTTTACGAATACTTTTTGGTTACAGTTTATAAACTAAGAATAGTCTCAGCCTGGTTCCCGCTGCAAACTTTGACATGGAGCATATATATGCACGAAAGATATGCTGAGGCACAGCGTGTTACATCTGCCACTATCCAAAAATTACAACCAAAATTAGTTCAATATGAATAAAGTAAATGAAAATGGAAGTAACCATGAAATATCAGGAAGTAGGACACAAATGGCAACGAAGCGGAAAGTTCATATCATAATGTACAAAAATAGTCCTGACGAACGGACTCGACAAAATAAGCCCTTCTTTAAGGACCACATCATCGGTAACGGTGCCAGCATCAGTTTTCCCCTGCTTTGGTCCATCGATAACCTGAATCTTCTACGAATACTCTGAGCGAACTCTCGAGCAGACAACGTACAAATGTCATGCATGAATACTGGTTCCGGAAGTAATAATCAGACTTGATCAAATGTCTGTCCCTGAAATTTGTTCATAGTCATCCTATAGGTAGCTCGATAGAGAATGGTTGTTAAAGAGGGAACGGAATGGGGACTTGGGTTGACGTGTCCAGTAAAACTATAGGCAGCAAGTGAACGCAGTCATGAAGCGCACCCGTGATCACCTCAACTACTATGGGTGTTCGAATGAAATGGAGACTATTAGTCCCCTCTCTTAGACTAAGAGTAACAGTCATTGCCCTTTTTTCATTTAAACTCCCCTAGTATTAAGACATTTGCAGTCAGGTCTCTCACGATCATAGGAGTGTCGTTGCAATGGTCGTTCCCAATCATGCGATTCCGTACACACATCAGGATATATACAATTTTTAGGATTGGGGCGTGCAGGAAGAGACCCTGAGTACTGAGAGTGTTGAAGAATTCAAACAGAAAGGCGGCCTGCCGATCGGTGTCATCACCACCATAATCGTTCTTCGCAATTTTGGTACTGTGCTGTAAGCACAGTTCGCCTTAAAATCGAAAAAACGTCCTCATTGACCAAACTGGATTGCTTTTTCCTGGGACAGAGAATGAGCGAGTTTGCTTCTAACTTTAGCATTGCAGAACATATGTTGTTCCCCAAAACAGATCGTTCACCTTATTATCTGCAATATAATCGCCTGGTAAACCCCGATGAGCTCATATGGATCGCCCAATAGACTCCACTTGATTTTTAGAAGCAGCAAGGAACATTACCGATAATGTCGGCTATTGTTGCACCGAAAGGAAACGGACGCGTTTGTGCTGTTGTACTATTAAACTCACAAAAATTGGGAGCGTTTTCATTTTCCCCGTCAGTGGAAACTTCAATGGGTTCGAATGGAACACCGTAACGTGATCATGACAACAACCTTCCCGAAGTTTACCTTTCTCCGTTTCGAAATGAATGGCCATGCAGTGCCCAACAAAGCTGTCAACATGCATAGGATCGCGATTATGTGAAACGACTGGAATGACGTTGAACGTCCTAACCAATGCAACTCGAGTAGGGTTAAAGGTTCGCCGCGGACACGCGCTGCTCACCGCATAGCGTTAACAGCCTGATGTTGCTCTGCAATTAATGCACCTCTCCTTCATCATTGATATCTTCAATTTGCTCATTGGTCAGTGCAGACCTACGCAGCCTCGCCGCTTCTCTTACGCGGGCGCATCACATCACATGTTAAGCTGTTTAGCACACACCAACCATCGTGGGTCCTGCAAAGGCTCGGGCTTGTAAGCAAAATCAGTTGCATGGAGGAATCACGAAACGCGCCTTGCCTATAACATGGAAATAAAAAAGCACGTAGGCTTAGGGGCTACCTAGCCTATGTCCTTGAAGGCAAAAGCTGTGTAGGCCAGAGGCTACACCTACCAACAATCTCCTTAGCGTATTCTAATATAGATTCAAGATTCAAGATAGTTAGTGATATCAAGAGGCGATTTCGCCCATTTCGATATCACGTGTCGAGGTCGAGCGTTCCTTAATTTTAGGGTAGGCCTAACCCTCTTAAAGCTACATATATATTTTTTTTTCTGACTATCCTAGGTGCTTACTGTCTAGTTCCTAACGTCAACATTGCCCCCCACCTTTTTGCCTGTCCATGGAAGCATCTAGTTTCTTCTTAAAGATAGTCACAGAAGGGGCAGCCACTACTTCGTCATCTAACGCATTCCACGCGTTCACCACTCTGTATATATATCTAATATATATAGACGATCGTGACTGACTGACTGACGCTAATTCTAACCATGTTCCAGATAGGTTAGAAATCTGAAACTTCGTACACATGTACCTTTTGGGGTGCAGAGTTCAGAAAAAATCCCACTTTGGAGATACATGCCCTGGGGGTACACATTTTGGGGGTAGAAGTTTTTTGTAAATATATATCATGATGGATAAAGATGTCATCGAAAGATGCCACTGCATGTCACCGTTTCAGTGGCGTAGTGGTAGCACGTCAGACGGATAATCGAGAGGCCAGGGTTGAATTCCCGGCCATCCCATGCCTTTTTTTTTTGGCTTCCCTTGCCTTCCATGAAGGCTTGAATGAAGGTTGCTTGAATGAAACGGAGAGACATGCAAAGCTAAAACGTGGCATGGATGTGCCTACCGACACGATGAGTTCAGGAAAAATGCAAAATTTTAGATCCATGCCCTGGGGGCATATTTTTGGGGGCCGACGTTTTCAAGTATTTCTTTTTTGTCCTGTTGTATTGAGCTAGTGTGGAAAGATGAAACTTGGTACATAATTACCTACCGGGATGCTGCGTGCAGAAAAATTCAGACTTTGGAATGAAATGCTCTGGGGGAATAAATTTCAAAGGGAGATTTTTTCACTTAAATTTTTTGCATTAATTAAACCGATGGACACGGAAAGCTGGAACTTTGCAGGAATGTGACTACCAAGATAAGGAGTTAAAGAAAAATGTTAAGTCTTGATACATCGCCGGGGGAAAATTTCTCATGGGGACGATGTTTAAAAAAAAAAGAAATTGTAGTGGCGAATTGGACATGAATGAAAAGGTGAAACTTGGCAGACGTATAAGTGACGTGATATTATTGAGTTGAGGGAGTATTCAGCTTTCATGGTGCCTTCCCTCCGGGCTTAGCTTTTGGGTGGGTCGGCCTTTCCTAACATGATTTTTCACCAGGGAAAAGGGCAAACGTATAAGATTGACACTTGGTGGGCATGTAGTTCACTGAGGTCTATTTCGATAAAAAAAAGGTACTTTTCGGTTAAAACGCCATAGGGCACATATCTTTGCAAATTTCCTGAATATTCTGATCCAGCAAAACGTAGGGTGGTCGAAAGTCTAAACTTGGCAAAGAAGTACCTGAGGAATAGCTGAGTAAAAAGCAATTCTACTTTCATATTATATATAGATGATCGTGAGTAGCTGACTGACATAAGTAGCTATTCACATGCTGAGTTCAGGAAAAATTCCAATTTGGTGATGCAAGTCATAGGGGCACATAGGGGAACATATTTTGAAATAGTTCTCTTTGCTTCAATCAAATGGAGACCCACGAAAAGCTGTAACATGGCAAGAACATGACTGGTGAAGCACTCAGCTCAAATGTCAAATGTCAAATTTCCGAAATACTTTTGGGGGTACATATTTCTTGGGGACGTAACGTTTTCAAAGAATTTTTAATATCTTAGCGAATCGGGCAGAAATATAAAAATAGCAGCTAGCGCAAGCATAACTAACGTGATGTTGACTTAAGGAAAAATTCAAATTTTGCTAAGCGTCTCCCCAGACCACAGCTTTTGGGTGTGTTGCTTTTGCAAACATTTTTTTTTTACCGCCAGCAAAAAGGGGAAACGTATAAGGCTGAAACTGGGCGGAATGGAGTCCCCTGAGTCTATATTTCAGAATTAAAAGAAATTTCCAAAATATTTGTGGGGTTCATATTTCCTGGGGACGTAACGTTTCCAAAGAATTTTTCTCATCCTACCGAATCGGGCAGAAATAGAAAGTACCTGGCGCACGCATAACAGCCGTGATGTTGATTTCAACTATTGTTGTGCGTCTCCTCAGAGTGCAGCTTTTCGGTGGGTCGCTTTTCCAAAAACATTTTTTCTGCCAACAAAAAATGGGAAACGTATAAGGCCAAAATTTGGTGGCATGGAGTTCCATGAGTCTACATTTCAGGAAAAAAAAAATTTCGTTAAAACCCATCAGGGCATTTTTTCGG